CACTTCCATTGTCTGTGGAAGTTGTTTACTTGCCTGAAATACTCTTGGGTGTTTTCCTCCTCACCACCAGGTGTCACTCTTGTGCTGTGTTTTGTTCGAGAAAGGCTGAAAAACATAGCTGTGGTATAAAAGATTGATCCTTTCAACTAGTCACTCACTGAATGATGGATAAAAGCTCCCTTATTTGTAAGAGACGTGTTGTGGATTTCTGAATTGATTTAATGGACTCTGACTGGGTTTAGGGCCTAAAAAATAGTACGCAATATTCCTCATAATAAACCTGTAAAATGACATTAGAGAATAAAAAGCAAAGTGATTGTATGAGGATTTTAGATAACAAAAGTGGCATTGAATACATCTGAATACATGTTTTGCTTTGTACTCTGCTTCATTTGGTGTTGTTGAGCTTCTACAAACCAGAATGTCAGTCAAATTGTTATCGAATTACGATAATGATGAAATGCATATTATTTTAATTCCCCTCTGTCTGTTTTGTCTGATTTGCCCTGAAGAAGTCTATTTAAGCCGGTATAAGATGGAACAAATGTTGACGTATTTACACCATGATGAACACCATGACTCACCCTCATGTTATATTGCCCGTAACAAACCCATTCAAAACCCAATGACACACTCCAGGCTGGAGCACGTTGATTTCTATATGCCCTGATTCACTTTCTTAAAGAAACAGACGTCATTTCTGTGTAATCAGCCCATTTTCCAAGAGTGTCCTGAGTTTATATAACTGTGTTATCTATCTTTTTCCAGATGACCCTGAATCAAAGGATGATGATGTGAACGCTGAGGACAAGACCTCCCAAGACCAGCCAGCTGATGAGGTAAACTATCGATTATGCACTAGTTCCGAAGCAATAAATGGTGTCTTTCTAAAAAGTAGTACATTTCTGTTTCTCTCATGATACCCGGAGAATTATTATTGAGTCTGCTAGCCTAGTGTAGTTTTGTAGATTGGTATCATTTTAGATTTATGAGCCAAAGAAACGTTATTTAAACATGCAGAATTGTTAATATTCGTGCATTTTGTTACATTACCACCGGTTTGACTCATATTTTTCAACGTCTGTGTTGCTCAGTGAACTGTTGCATATTGATTGGCGTGCCATAAAAAGCGTTTAAAAAAAAAAAACGTAAGGCTTTGGCTCCACTTGATTTGTAAGTGCTCATGATTCAATAGCGCTATCACTCTCTTTCAGGAAAGTGTAGGTCACGGGGAGAATTATTGTAAACAATCCAATTACATTACATAAAATATTCAGAGCTATAAAATCTGTCTGTGGTGTTATTGCATTACAGAAACCTGCAGACGATGACGATGATGATGATGCAAAGGCCGCAGAGCAGAATGGTGAAAAGGAAGAACAGAGAGAGAAGGAGGTTGAAAACACCACCGAAGAAGACACTTCTACTATCAAAGAAGAAATGAAGGAAAACCAGAAGACGAGGGGACAAAAAGAGGGAGGGGAAGAGGGAAATGATCAAAAAGAGGGAGAGGCAACAGCGGGATCTGAGGAGAAGGAGGTTAAAGAAGAAGTGAAGGAAGAGGTCACAAAGGAGAGTAAGGAGGAGGTGACAGAAGAAGTGAAGGAAGAGGTCACGGAGGAGAGTAAGGAGGAGGTGAAGGAAAAGGTCACGGAGGAGAGTAAGGAGGAGGTGAAGAAGAGGTCACGGAGGAGAGTAAGGAGGAGGTGACAGAAGAAGTGAAGGAAGAGGTCACGGAGGAGAGTAAGGAGGAAGTGACAGAAGAAGTGAAGGAAGAGGTCACGGAGGACAGTAAGGAGGAGGTGACAGAAGAGGTCACGGAGGAGAGTAAGGAGGAGGTTACAGAAGAAGTGAATGAAGAGGTCACGGAGGACAGTAAGGAGGAGGTTAGCGGTGAGAAGCAGGGGTCCAGCGTGAGCAGCAGCGATAAGGCCTCGGACAGCAAAGAGAAAGAGGATGGAAAGCATACGTCTTCTGAGGGTGAAAGGGAAGACACACATAGAGAAGAAGAGAAGAGAGATGCAGACAGTGGGAAGGGTGAGCAAAGCAGAGAGGAGCGAGTTAATGGTGTAGACACGGGGGAGGAACAGACGGAGACAGAACACAGCAGTGACCCGGGGAAGACTCGCTCAGATAACCAGACAAAAGAGAGCGATAACGGGAGAAGTAGCAGAAGCAGCGGGAAGCAGGGAGAGGAAGAGAGCGAAACAAAAGAGGGAGCTACCAAAGAGTCAGGGGAAGAGGAGAGAGAGGAGAACGGAGAGGTGAGCGGAGAGGAAGAGGAGGAGGAGGAGGAGGAGAGCGGAGCAGAACTGGACATGGAGGAGGATTCAGCCAAAGATGACGCAGAAAATGGAGAGAAAGAGGCGGCGGGTGATGAGCAAGACAAGCAAGATAAAAGCAGGAAAGATTAGTAAAGAAAATGAATGCTCATAATAGCAAGCAATACTTTTAGAATACAATATATTCATAATAAAGGTGGCAGAGCAAAAAAAAAGTCCACGTAGAATCTGCATTTAAATAAAAACAATGTCCCAAATGTCAAGAAAGAAATGTTTGAATGGCTGCCTTATGATCTAAATTGCAGGTATGTATTTAACAACTATTTTGAAACACATTATAAAAGAGCTTTAGTTATATATTCCTATTTGTAATTAAGACATACTGTTAATTATTGGGCTGCTTGTTTCAGTGTGATGCTGGGGAACTTAAATATATATTTATACAGTCATTATATGTTTTTCTGTTGAAATACATATTTTTATCAGGTATGATTTTACTTTCTTGTTTTTAAACATGATTTGTATGCAAGTGATAAAAGTGAACTTTCTTTTTGTAAGTGCGTTGGGTAATGTTGTATGCATACTGTGAATTTCCAATATCAATTCCTCATTATATAGTCATTATGTCTTATGCATATTTGTTTATTTACATAATATCTTTTACCATAAATATAATTAAGTGAAAATGACAGGGAGGGATTCAACCAAACAGAATGTGATGTCTGTCACTTCATTATAACATCACTTCAAATGTGTCAACAAAAATAAAAAAATACTGTGATTATGATAACTGTGTTGTTTTTCGACTTTACTGTAAACAGTGTTTGTGAAATTATAAAATGGATTTATGTGAAGTAGATGAAAGGTCAACACTTTAATATTTACTAATGCGTTTTTTAGTATGTTTTAAATAAAAAATATTTTGCATTGATGTAGCTCATTAAAGTGTAGCTACTTGAACGGCATCATTTTGCTTTCACCCTAGATAGATGGATCCACCAGCAACAGTGATTGTGTCCATGTTGCTAGGACAACTGATCTGTTAGATGATGTCAGAGTTAGCATGACAACCATGTTCTAACCATGACAACATGGTGAGCAACAGCATGTTTGTCATTATATTGACAGTCAGACCAACACATTGTTCGTCAGCATGCTTTTCATTAAAATCATTCATTTTTTGAAATGTGTGCATGATAATAACGTATGCACAATAACATGAGGGCTTACAGTGATACAGTTAAATGTTGCATTACTTGTATCAAATAAAATAATGTGTTTTTATGTATACAATATCTTAAGGCAAGAAGATTCTAAGCGACACCGGTAACAGAACTAGGTCTCGGACATTTGTAATCTGCAACACAGGCGAGACGAGATTTATAATGCAATGTAGACTTACAATAAAAAAACATCTCGTTATTTTGTTCAGCTATTTTGCATCTCTGTTTCACCATGAACCAAGGTTGCATTAATCCACTGTAAACTCCCGCCCACGGGAAAGAAAAGTGTGAACTGTGATCTAATTCTGTCCTCGCTGCCCTCTCATCCCTGCAGCTGTCCACATTGGGATTCATGCAGTCAATGTGTTTGTGAGTCACCATCCCACGAGAGACGCAGAACATGGGTGAGAGAGGAGGTAAAGGGAGAGAGTAAGGGAGAGAAGGGGGGAGGCAGAGGAGGCGGGGGTGGGTGAGTCATACAGCCTGACTGGTCGGGGTGATGATCCTTAAGGTGCTATTTCTGGAATTACCATCAATTCTGTCTTATCTCCTCCACTGGCTCCTTTCGGTGTGTGTGTGTGTGTGTGTGTGTGTGTGTGTGTGTGTGTGTGTGTGTGTGTGTGTGTGTGTGTGTGTGTGTGTGTGTGTGTGTGTGTGTGTGGTGTGTGTGTGTGTGTGTGTGTGTGTGTGTGTGTGTGCTGGTGTTAATAAGCCCCTGAACAGCACAGACACACTTCTTCTGAATGACTTACCTGATTGATTACAGTAAGAGCTTCTACTCGCTGTACTGAAGGCTTAGTCTGTCGGAACACCATTGACGGTTTGAAGTTTTTTATTAATGAAAACCAGATACTATAATTACTCATCCTTCCTTTGTTTTCCCTCTCAATGTGACACAGTAAGCCCTGAGAGGCAAGAAAGTGATGTTTTGTTTGGTGTTCAATGTTAAGTAAAACCTCTTATGCGGAATGGATTGTCTTGTATGTTCGTACTTTTTCAAATCTAAATGAAATGAGGAAAATTATGAATCTGCTTACTGGTCAGACTCAAGATTCTTAGAAAAATTGTGTCCAGTAACTAATAGGTTCTGATAATTGTATATATAAAGATCGCAACAGCCTTTGCACTTCTATGTGTTTCAACAAAAAATGATGTCCTAAATGTAGGAGATCTAATTTGTTCACCTTGACTCTCAGGTTTTCCGTAGGCCACACTATTTTGAAGTACAAAAAGACATTAATAAACGTGTAGAGTGTATTGAAGTTACCCTGTACTCCATGTATGTAAAGATGATATTAACAGCAAAACAAGACTACATAAACCAGAGACACATTCACAATAAGAACACATATTTAAGCAATGCAAAAGGCAGAATGGCCCATGTGATATGCTGTACAACTATAGTGGTGATACAATTATACTTTGTATTTTCATTTGCTATAAGTAATTAAGTGAGGATGTGTCTCTTGAAAAGGATGCACACAGTCTTCAGACATTATGAGCAGTGGATATTTCAACTTTATTGTGTTCTTTGAAAAATAGACATACTGTATATAGACATCGATATCTTTATATATTTGTTCTTTTCCAATCCAACCTCCAATAGGTACAGTATACTCTTTTATTTGTATTATTTACTGGGAGAATCCACGGTACATCAGGAGACACTAAAACTGGGAAATCAGAGCAGAAAAATATCCATCGCAGATGTTGGGATTGTAATGCAGAACTAATTTGGTCCAAATAAGAATACAAAATAAACTCACAATTTACAGCATGGAACTACAAGTCAGAACATTTATTGACCACTTCATAACGCTCCGACCACACTGAACGTTTGATTTTAAGAGATTGTTTTTTCTTCTTGTACTGTATTTGCAGATTAACAGTGGTTGCGTAATATTCCTTCAACATGTCTAACTTATAAGTATATCTGTATTCATAGTTATAGCTACACGTGTGTTGTTTCTGAGACCAAAATATGTTAAAATGTCATCAAATAATGGAATGAAGGTTGTGGGATATTAAAAGGTCAAGTTACATGAACATAGGTAGCCAGCAGAGCAATGGCTGCTAAAGCTTCTATTATATATGTCTATGAATAAACATATATTACTTCATACAGGGTGTTTCTGGCATTGTTGCTGCATCATTCTGAAGAGTTTGGAAAGCCCTGCAGCGTTGAAGCACAGTATGAGGCGTGTAGCTTGATGGCACTTGGACTGTCTCTACCACAAAACATGTTTTCTAACAGTACAAAATAAATGCTGCATTTTGACCACACCACTTGTATCTGTGTGCATTGGATGCAAAACCAACAAACAAGGAGCAACCACAAATTGAACAATTTAAAATGGCATGGTCACACTATTTAAAATATATATTTAAAATACACAAAGTTCAAAAAAGCATGAACATCAGCAGGTTATTGTGCTTGTTAGTTAAAGTCACAGCGTGTGTGAGAGCAGAGTTTTTATAGAATGCAAAAATAAAATAAATAAACCTTCTTAATTTAACTTCTGTTTCTAAGATAGTACCCAACTGAATATGCAACCATGAGACACACATACTGGGTGCTGTTCAGCATACTTCATGATGTAGCTTCAAGTTTTGTGTGTGAGAGCAGGAAGGCAGTTATTGTGTGGAGAGCATCTGTGAATCTAGGCTGTAAACAGAGAGCGCTGTTAAACACAAAGTAGCTGATGTGATCTCACTGGAGAGCTGCGTGCTCTCTCTCTGTCTCTCTCTCTCTCTCTCTCTCTCTCTCTCTCTCTCTCTCTCTCTCTCTCTCTGTCTCTCTCTCTCTTCGTTATCTTACATAATCTGTCACGTTGTTTGTCTCGCTTGGTGCGCCCTTGCTTTGTCTTCATTTTAAGACCCACCACCTGCGTCTTCTTTTTTTATTTGCCAAATTGACCTCTCCCTGCACGTTTGTGCACGCTTGGATGGATAGGCTTGTGTCTACATGCTTGTGTTTGTTACAGTGAGGGAAGGAAACATATACAGGAGGAGCATGGGTAATGAAGTGTTTAGGAAACAATCAAAGATAGAAGGTATATTATTATTTGAGAAACCAAGTTTAAAGAATATTAGGTACTTCTCATTTAAAAATACTTAGTCTCCTTCAATATACACAAGAACAATGTGCTATGTTTGATGTACTTACAATGTGCTTAGTATACTTATTGTTTTACCTCTAGGACTTATAAATATACACTTGCTATACTGTTCTATAGTCAAACAGCATTTGGATAAATATATACATAATTGCAAACATTTTTAATAATTCTGTAAAGTAATTTCATAGATACAACACTTAATTGTGTTTAAGTTCATATTTGCCAACAATAATTATATACAATTAGCATAGTAAGAACATTGTTAGTATTGAAAATAGCACACTTTTAGTACATTAATAAGGAAGTATACTTCAAATTGGTCAGTATACCTTGTTTTAATCTTGGTTATCTGGAAAGACATATTAAATCTAATATATTATTTTGTTAAGTGACAGACTATGTAGTTCTGCATCTTCTGTCTGGTTCACCTTTCATCAGTCTTTCTAGTCTCGCCTATCGATCCTCTCTGAAGATTCACTGAAGGAGACAAGGTCAGAGGCCTAATAAGACAGAAAAAAGGCGGCTTGAAATCTGCCTTGGAGGTCTGTTCCAATCTGTGTTGATCTCTTGTCTGCTCTGCTGATGTGTGAACTTCTGTCAAATGATCTGTTAAGACTTGGCTCGATTTGCACACAAACATAACTTTAAATAAGTATTCAGCTGAAGCACATATCCTCATAGTGTGTGTTTGTGATTGACAGCTCGTACTAACTGTGGTAATGAAGTTATGCTGCATAAACAGCATGTGTACATGTTCACACAAAGCATGTTCACTCAGAAAAGCTCCCTCTGATGTCCTTTTAGACACTAGCAGAGATAATGGTTGTTGTGTTGAGGGCTTCTTTTGATCATTTTCTTGTAATGGGTGTCCGATCACAAAATACTTCAAACAACGCAGCATCTGCTGCTCGATACCCTCCAGCAGTAACACCATTCTCTTTCACAAAAATGTGAATCCTCTCCACAGAAACATGCTTGGTGGAAGAAATTATGTTATTGTTGTTCAGTGGCTGTGTTCTATTGATTTCTTTCTGTGGTTTATTTTCTGGGTAGGGCTCGAGACCTGCATGTGCTTTGTCAGATCACTATGAATTTCATATAACTGCTGTCGAAAAAACAAAAGGCTTAAACTTTGCTCAGCTATACTAAACTCTGCACCTATATCACCTTAAATCAAGCTCTACTGTCAAACAGAGCAAATGAAGAGCAAATACTCAGTCATGTAAGCTGACCTTTGAAAAGAGAAAATGCACACATAGTTCTACACCTACCTATACACACACACACACACACACACACACACATTTGCACTCGCACACAGTCATCACACACACTTCTTCACTTGATGCCTTCATGTGGTCTTCTGTCAGGTCTCCGACTTTGTTTTCGCTGGCTGGATGTTCTGGACTTTGGAAAGCGTGACTGGCACCCTTCCCTCTCCAGGGGTCGGTGGTTTCATGATGGGGGTACCTGTGAGAACAGCAGTTCTGCTAGGAGTGATATCTATACAAAGTCGTTTGAGTTCAGCCTAACAGTAAAAATAAAAACGTTTGCTGCATCAACATCTCATACCTACTCTTGATGTGTTGCTGAAGTTGGCTGCCTTTTTGCGTATTAATCATGGATGTTAAAGGTGTGTGTTTGGTAAATGATGTGAAGCGGTCGCATGGTTAGAATTGAGAAATTGTTGTGGTTAGGTCTGGGTAAGAAAACTACTCAGTTCAATTTGAAAACAAATGTTGGTTTGGATTGAAATGACTAATGTTGTTGATCTGAAGACATCTGTTAAAATACCTCAACATTTGGTTTCACAGGGGACATGGATGCAGGTTCTCTAGGTGAAATGTGTTTTACTCACCCTGTACTCCTCCATTCTTCCCAACATTAGTGTACTTGTTCTATCTTTATACGCATCCTTCACTCTGAGTGTCTTGTAACAGCATTAATGAGTTTACTGCCTGGTGCGTCTTACACTAACGCTAAAGGGTGCCTTGTGCATCACTAACAAGACGTCTACTCACGCATCAGTTTGAATTGCTCCGCTAATGAGACCAACTTTATTGCATTTGCTTTTTAACCATTCACAAATGTCTATAAACGAGGTACAGAATGAAGGCTTACCAACTGTCGCGTGCAGATCTGCCAACCTCTCTTTGAACTTCTGCTGCAGGTACAGTTCTTCTTTGGAGTAGCTTTTGGCAAAGGCAGATAGCAGGAGACCCACAGCCATGGAGGTTCCTCCAACGCAGAACAACACGGCACCGGTCAGCTTACAAACATCCAGAGCGTGGTTAAAACTGACGGCGTGGCTGTTGAAGTGAAAGACACATGGCGGAAATGAGAAATCAATCTCGGTAAGCAATACCTGTCAACCTAAAAAAGTAAAAAATATGCATCCAAAAAGTCACTGGGAAGCCATTTTTAAAAAGGCTATTCTCCATTTTGAAATGTCTTTGTTTACTTGTTGTAATAGTTTTGACCTTTATATAATTAACTGCATGTCCTTCCACTAAAACAATGAGCTGTCCATTACAATGATGTAATAGAAAATAGGATTCCAACTGTAAGTGTTAAATACACAGAATTGCTGTGTAGGGATAGGAACGATTTCATTAACCCCCTTCCATTAATACACTGTATTTTTCTTTTACCTGTCAACAAAAAGGAGATCATCCTCTCCAAATGCCTCGGTCCTAGTTGGAGTGGCATATCCGACCAAAACAACAATAAGGCCTGCAAACAAGATCAGGGAGCCGAACGCGAGACAGACCTGGGCGAGAACAAAATGACATGTTATACGACTACACGACCAACATAACCAGCAGGTTAGTGGCTGCTTAAACTCACCTTCCAGAGTAAAGAGCTCCACCTGCTAGGCGATCTCTGAATCTGAAAATCTTCATCACGTTCCCAGATAGAAGCTGTGCACTCCTCGTAAAACTGGAGAAGAGATCAAAAACAGACAGATGTTTTCACTTTCCAAACATGGACCCTGAAAACCCACCAGAGATCAAGATCTAAAAGCCTCTAATCTAAGTTTTCAAAAAAGAAAACAGTTAATAATTGTTGAATAAATTGCCCTGTGTGTGTGTGATGTGTACCTGGTGTAGGTAAGACCGGACTCCATACTGTTGGCAGTTTCCGCTGGCTTGGGCTTGCTCACCATACTCCGACCCACAGATCTCTGAGCAAGAAGTCATCCTTCACACCTGGCTACCTGCTTGAGGAAACACACACACACACACACGCACGGATGAATGCCGGGTGTGCAGCCACCCACACGTTTGTGGACAAAACCTCCATAGCACAGCCATTTACCCATGCATAAACATGCACACAGAGATAAACAGTGTATAAAATATATGTATCACACAAGCATGTACCGTCTCACACACACTGCCAGAAAGTTATGTAACATTGTACTGAAGGCATTGGTGCCTCAGAACATTGAGATTAATGATGCGTTCTCAATGTCTGCCGTTATGAAATAAGCCATGAGATGTTGAATCGGTTCTCCTTTTTAGATTCAATATAGTGCCGGCTGAACCCAGAGGGTGCTGACATGCAGAGAAATAACCTTTTCCTCTTTCGATAATTCATTTCATGCAACAATAATAACATCAGCATCCATTTCTTTAGCTGTGCATCAAAAATTAAGCAATTTATTTAGTATTGTATGTTGCATTTTATATTGTTTTATAAAATATATACAGTATAAAGGACATGCTGTGTAAAGATGACCTTGCTTGTTGACATATAGGAGGAGTTTCATTCACATAACAAATCCAATAATAACAACAATTGAATCCATGTGATATTTTTTGAATAGATCAGCGATGTGTGGAAAAAAGTAATTTGCCTAAACTAATGTGCTGTTAGAGGATTCACATGTTTATACATAAAGATCATTCAGGTAATGTGAGTAGCTATGTTGGCAGCATAAAATGAAATCACACATTATATTTGTTACCCTGTTCTCTGTATTCTGAGGCTATAAAAAACAATTCAATTAAAAGACCGCAGAAAAGATGCTCTAGGAACTTTTTACTAGGAGCATTTACAAGTCCCTCAGCATCCATTTGAGATCCAGAGGCATTTCCCAGCTCAGGGCCTTTGTACAAACACAACTCTGTTTCAATTTTCCGTCAGCTATAGCTCTAAATCCTAATTTTCTGCACCACAGCAGAACAGCACTGGGACCAACATATTGCTCCCAGTGTTGTCATATTCTTCAAAATGCCCAATGTTTACAGACATCACAGACACACATTTGTTTATAATATAGTTTGATCCAAAAGCAGCAAGCTCCTATGATACATGTGACACTTGGACAAAGAAACAGACCTACACAAAGAAGCAGTATGTGTTACTGATGGGGCTTAATGGGTTTATGGTTCACCAGGATAGGACTTGTGGGTGAAATAAGTAGCAGTGATTGCACAAAAAACATGTTGTTGGCTTAAATACTGAAGGGAATACATGTTGGGCCTCTATCTGGAGGCACTTTATGGTAAACTTATCAAGGAACTATTCAGTGGAAATAGTCAGTATGCACAGTATTTGTAATATTTACTGATGCAAGCTCTGCAGTAATGATAAGGACATTTTAGGAAGGTACGCACAACAGAGCACCTTTGACCTTCAGTCTGCATGACACAACATGTGTGCTTAAAACTTTGAGAGGCATTCATATTAATGAATCGATTACATACCTCACTATTATCTTGCTTATTTGTCATTGAAAACTGACATTACTCATTTAAATGTCACTTGTGTTGCTAGAGACAAGTCACTTTTTTATATAACCCAGTCACGATTTGCCTTCTAAGGGTCTCGGACAATCAGTATATAAAACCTTTTGATTTATGATTTACTTTCATTAGATTGATCACTTAACGTTAAAGAATTTGGAGTATAATCTTAACATTGGAGAGTCACAGCTAATATGTTGCAACTCTATTCTATACACTGCTTTTCTTGTCTGAATCTCCTTATAGATAATAATAATAAACGTGTGGAAATGTGAAGAGGAGATGGAGAGTGTCTCATTTAATAAAATGGCCAAACATTAGTTCCCACATTGTATGAGATTCAGTCAGAACATCACCTGAGTGTGATAAGATGCTGCATTAAGACGAGACACACTGTTCCCTGCTACATTGTGATAATCGTATTACTGCTTAATTTGTACCTGCTGAGGTCTGTCATGAAATCTAAATCCGTCCAGATGCTGCTCATCCTCACTGCATATATGCAAGACATTTTAAATATTCATCCAGCTATAATGATAATGTGTAATATGGAAATATGACAGATTTTTCATTATGAACTACAAGGTATAGAGACTACATTGAGGCTTAATCTATTTAAAGTCAAACACTAAACTTGAGTGGGAATTTAAAATGTCATGTTGTCTTTCCTTCATGTATATATCGACATGTTTGTGAAAAAAATAAAACTTAGCTTCAGTGCCCTTGACCTTGTGGTCTATGGCAACAGTCAAGCACACAGAAACACAACCAACACATGACATAAGGCCATTTACAGACAAGAATATTTGATTGACTGAATGAGACGACAGCATGCACTCAATGGATGGAGACATATAAATAACAAAACGAAAACAAAATGGCCAAATATTAAATTGAAATGGGCTCGCAGGTAGAAAGCGTGTCTCTTTCTGGGTCATTTCCAGTCTTCCCAAGCATTCTCTCATATTTTAAAAGGTTTCCTTATCCACAAAACACAGACCAAATACATCTCGACCTATCTTAACCTCAATTCAACTGTGATCTGAAAAATAAAAACCAGAGTAGAGAAATACAAACACCAAAGTGTAGATGCAAAAGCCAAAAGTCTGAAGTAAGCTACAAGATGTCCTGCCCACCGTTAAACCGGGAGCTGGTCGTGGTGCTGATCGCCATTATTATCATTAAGCCCTCAGCCAAGCAAGAAAACACACAGACGTCATATGTGACGCCAGTCTGAGAGCAGAGCTCTTCCCAACCCCCCCAGAGACGCAGATAGACACACAGTGCGCGTTTCAATTAAACTAAGTATTTGCATCTAAACAATTAGACTTAAATCAGGTCGCGTGCCGTCTTAATCACCAGAAAAACATAATCACGAAATATGACATGTGCAGGTACAATTTATAGGGTTGAAGTTTTATTTCATCTGAGGATACCACCGCCCGAAACGCGCGTAAATAAGAACAGAAACCAGCGATTATCATGTAATGACAACACAAAGTTCCAAAGAGCATTCTTTCCGATATTGTATCCACATGATCGCTACTTCCAGCTGTGCAAGATGAGACGTGCACCGCTGACCGAGTCCATGCAGGAAATATGATTTCCCGACATTTACCAAATCAACAATTGATCAGAGACTATGAGTGCAAAAATATTATTCTAAATCATTTTAAATCGTAATTTTACCTGTCATTACCAGCTCGGAGAGTGATCACTCGCTGCTGTTCCCTCAGCCGGGTCCCATCACTCTACAGTCACCTCTCTCTCCCCCCACCCTCTCTCTCTTTCCATCGATGATTCAGAATTTCACACTGGCTACTGCGCATGCGTCACATCCATGACAATATAGCCTATGATTCAATTGCGAATATAAATAACCAGGCATGAGTGTAGGAAGAGAAAGACATTCATTCAGGATTCAACATCCATGCCTAGATGGACACATTTATCAATGAATGGATGTATATATATATATATATATATATATATATATATATATATATATATATATATATATATATATATATAGATAGATAGATAGATAGATAGATAGATAGATAGATAGATAGATAGATAGATAGATAGATAGATAGATAGATAGATAGATAGATAGATAGATAGATAGATAGATGGATAGATGGATAGATAGATGGATAGATTGGATGGATGAATATATTGTTAGGTATAGGACATGTGTCCATAGAGATGAAGGGCAGGACCACTTTTTATTCTCAGGGGAGATAGTCATAACACTGTCAGTGGAAAGTCAAGGGACAGCTCTGGGTCTCTATCATTTATTTTATATAAATGATATAGATACATATTTTATCATTTACCAATACAATATTCAAAATGAGTAATTTCCTAATTTAGCCTTTCTAAATGGGATATCATGCCAAATCCACAGCAGGTTCATCGTCAATGCAACACACACGTACACATGCACACACACGCACGCACACACACGCACTTTCTCACACACAAACCATTTTCCAGGATTCCAGTCACATTCCTGTACAATTTATTTGTATCACTGTGAGTGACGTATAGGGGAGTGTTAGTCACTCTCTCTGCGCTCCTCTTGTGGAAGGTATGACCTAAAAGCGATTAACCACATCACGACTCCAGTGTAAAGTTCCTGCTGAGTTAGAAACGAGAATGAGTCCGCTGATCTGTCAAAACGTGTTTATGCATTATTCATTCAGAGTCTGCAAAAAATGGCATGAACTTATTTAACTAATTTTTATTTTATTTTTTTCCCTCCTTTTTTTGGGTATAATTCTATATTTACTGGATGAGAAGGGGTTTAAATACATAGCATTCAAGATTTCAACACCAAATATTCACTTGCTCCAAGTCATTATTATGTGAGATAATACAAAATAATGAAAATGGTTGTCATGAATTGATATTTAATCACCACTCATGCTTGTAAAACAAACAAGCAATGACAAAACAAAAACACATTTTCAAATGTTTCAATTTGTGCCTTACTTCATTATGACAAAACAGTAATAATTTCGGGAGTCCAGCACTACATGTTTGCAATGTTTTTTTCACTCTGAAAGTGGCCTGACAAATGTTAGACAATGTTAGGAAAATTCAAATTTAGGACAATTTTGGTTTCTGGCATAATTAAATGTCATAAACTGTGTAATTTCAATGGCTCTTTAGACGGTGATATTATTTGTAACTCTGGATCACAGGTCTAATCTGGTCTGGTAAAGTCAGGCTGGAAACTCAACATTGAGCGCTCATTGGCAGGTTTGGAAAAGCATGTTCCTGTAGCAAGCACATCAGGAGAGGTTTGTTTGTCCACAAGATGAGCTCAACTAGAGGGAGCACAGGAAATGAGAAGGTGGAGCAGCTGTCGCCATGACAATGATCTCTACAATATTTCTAAGCTGAAGAGACGCTGTTATGTCTCTAAGGAGGGGTTATGTTGCAGTGTGCGTCACAGGAACATTTGAAATTGCTGGTATGAAGACGTGTCATTTCCTTCATGTAAACAAAGTACTTGTATTGAGGTTTGTTTAGTTGTGTTGTGTCGTCACGTGGTTGCTTTGAAGAGTTGTTTTAAATATATCAAGGATGAGTTTAATAATTTCCACACAGAAGTCTCTAATGATGAGAGGTTTTTTTGTTAATTAAAACAAGAGTATTTTTAACTGCAACTTTACATGAGTCAAGACCATTGGGTTGTACTAGAATTAGACATATCATTTGTTGATTTTTTTATGGTAATGCATTTTAATTTGCAATAACTGGGGTGTTAGGTCCAAATGTATGAATCACATACAGATGATGATATGTGAAGGACTGGAGACCCATCCAGGGTGTTTACCTGTCTGTGGTCTGATGTATGTTGGAATAAGCCCCCGGCCCCTCCATGTGATCCTGAATGGTCCAAAATAAAAGTAACAAATGCCGATTGCACATACATGACATGCTCCTGGAAAGTAGCTAGGCTTCTCTCATTAAGTAGAGGTGCTAAAATCACAATAGGACTATTTGAAGTAAGAGCCTTTAACATAATTCACAAGTCTTGTGCGTTTATACTAAATGACATTCTCTTACAGCATTCACTTACATACTCACAAAAACATAGCATCCATGTCTGTGTTTAATCACACAAAGTATTGCATGCACAGTGGAAAATATTTTTCAAAGAGATGTTTGTATGTAGCTGACCTTTTATGAGTAGATATTTGTTGAAAAAAGATTCTCCCTATAAGATCTGTTTAATCAGCTCATACATAGATGACTTTGTGAGTGAGAACTGCTTTGAGGCCAAAGACAATAATAAATCTTTACCTTCTCATTTTTAAGATAAATAAGATATAATTAAAAAGAGCTGAGTTAATTGCTCTTTAGTATTTGTTAATCAAACATCATAATACAATGTGTGTGTGTGCGATCACATCGCAGCATATAATCTCTCTCCCTCTCTCTCTCTCTCTCTCTCTCTCTCTCTCTCTCTCTCTCTCTCTCTCTCTCTCTCTCTCTCTCTCTCTCTCACACTGTGTGTACAAGCTGAGCATCTCAGAGCAGAGAGAGGCGGTTACTATGGCGACGTGGAAAGGTCACCTTCAGGAAGTTCTCTGTGAGCGTGTGCAGAATGCCAGTTGGATAATCAGGCTTCCTGTAATGACTGATAACAGACCACAGCTCATTAGAGAGGAGGAGAGAGACGGGGTGGAGGGGAACGGGGGACATTATTAGACAGAGAGCAAAGACACAATAGAACATCTAACTAATGGTATGCCATGCTTTTAATGTGGAATCCAATGCAGTACGCACACTTTATTCATACATAAATTGATGCTAATCTATTTAGCAGAAATTGTAAAATACAAAAAGCCATGACTATAACGAATGAGATGCTATATGTTGACTATCCTCTGTAATTCAGATGGATGTTGGTACTGTAGAAAGGTAAATAACTTGCTAGACATGAAAAAGAAAGACTAATTTATCTACTAATTATTTTGTAATATAGGCCATACTTGCCTGGTTGGCAGATCATTTAGAAACAAGAGGACTTAGCTGCCATGGAGGGCGTTGCTACCTGGCTGCCTGGCAGGACGTTGTGACCTACATTAGCAGATATACTGCAGCTACAATGCGACAAGTCCTGTGGTTTGACAAGAGCAAAGGCAATAATAATCAGTAATACAAACCTGAGCGGTAATATGAATTATAATAAACTGCAGGTTCATTTGTCTGTACTTCTTTTACAAGGCCATTGGAGCATGGCTTCTACCAATCCAGTGGCACAGTGTCTTCCCCACCAAACTGAATATATTTTGTATAAAAAGTACAACTTTATGGGCATTTACTCTTGGTTTCAACTCCCATGATAAAAAATATATGTTTTTCATCACTGCTCTGAAACATTATGCACTCGAGCAATTACGCGTGTATTACTAAGTATTATTTTACTGTTTCTATGCGCTACTTTTTAAAGTATCGGCAAGGTTCCTTTGTAGGTTTTTTTCATTCTTAACTTCACCCATGACTTCCCTCCTTGCATGCTAGATTACCTTCAGACCAAAATACTCAAAGGACTGACTCCTAAATAATATGTTATAGCAAAGCCTCAAGGTTCAAGGTTCTTTATTAGTCATACAACCATAGCTACAGAGTAGTTATAGGAGTAGGGATTAATTTCTGTCTTTATACACTTCTTAAGCAATTGTCAGATCAAAATGCCAACATTTCATAGTTTTCCATGGAGAAATAAGTAAATAAATGCACAATTATTTGAACAAAGAATATATATTGTTATGATTGTGTGTTCTCTGGTTATGGATCCAATAGGCACACTATTATGATGGTATGGATCGTGCTATACATAATATTTACCATACCATTTAGGCAGTTCAATACAGCAGACTATTTATTATGTATGTGAAGCTGTAAATACTAGCAATGTAGCCAGTAAGTACTTCCTACTAACAAGGCTGACATCTACTGGGCATCATGGGTTCTGCATCAAACGTACATAAATGCTGTGCAGATGGGAGAGTGTAGAGTTAGTTTAACCACACCAAGTGCAATACTACTATGTTTTGCCTCATATGGGTAACGAATGCATTTTAACTGCTTTTTTTTATTTATTATGTGTGCATAATACAATAAATATAAGGGTAAGGAAATGCACCTACAAATACATTTTTCTTTCATGTCTCTTTTGAACATAAGAATATACGTTCAACTGTAAAACAAATAAGGTTCATATTACATACATATAAGCACCATTACATGCCTCACCTATTGTACAACCAATGAATGATCCATCAAATAAATGTTGTTGAAAACAAATGTTGGTGTACATTTCGTAAATAAATTCAGTGTTTGACAAAATGTCAACTCTTGCCAAAACTATAGCTGTTGATCTTTATGGCTTGTGCAATATTTTTCTCAATTTTCTATATATCATTTATTGTACATATTTACCTTCCATTAAGTTTACTATGAAAATGACATACAAGGAGTGTGTCAGATAAGAAATCTGTTCTATCGCCTTCAAACCAGTTGTAAATAACAGTTAATTGGGGGATTTCTCAAACAAGACAAAAAGTACTGCACACATGATTTCAGCTGACTTGCATTAGCGCCCCCCCACCTCTGTTATATGTTTTGATAGATGAGAGGGAGGGCCACCTGATCTAACCATCTCAGGAACCTTAGCCTTGGTGGTGTTGTTCATTCTTCATCTTATTGATTCCTCTGTCATTCTGCCATACCAGGGCTGGAAGCTCGGACTTTCCACTCGGGCCTTGCTGTATTTCATAAACCATTGACT